CTTGGTTATCCTAGATGTTTCTGTCACAGCCACTCACACACAGCTGTGCACACCCTCAAGGACTTACAAGGCTTTTGGATTGATATCTGCCACTGCTCATCCCACTTGACAATGTTTGGCAGGACGAAGACAGACCCCAGCATTCTGGTTACAAGTTTCAGAATTACATAAACATTTTAGCAAGTAGAATTGCTTATCATTGCCTACTTTTCTAGCACTTAGCGTCGCTAACTGCTCCACAGAACATCTAGCAATTAGTGTAGCTTTCTTATTATCTAGAATCCTTACTTCACCCCATTTTTCAGTCACTGGGACCCTTGGCAGATCCACTGTTAATCAGTATGAAATGCAGGAATTGTAACATAGAGTCAGACTCTACCTACAAGATCACAAGTTGGAGGATGCAGTGGAAGAAGGAGTTGCTGGCCACCAAGAAACCATGGGCTTTGCATCAGCTCTGATCTGATCCCCACTTAGAGCATGCCTAAGATGTTACCTGGATGTTGCAGCCAATACTTCAGTTTTGATTTCACTTTCAAATTGCACACTGAAAGATTGCATACCTCTGGTGAGCCAACACCCGAATGGTGATAATGCTGATGGGAAGAATCCCGCTGGCCACAGAAAAGTGGCTGAAATGGATGTCCTCAAATCTGGGTGATGTAATGGAGGAGAAGTGGGGTTACATGTGAGTGGCTGCTTCCATGTACAGCTATATGCTCTGGCATGGAATCAGAGAATGAGAGAACCACCAGGGCATCATCAAACCATCAAAATGCAGAAGCATAGAGTCAAAGAATCAGAGAATCCAGAATCATGCAATCAGCTAATTATATGCTCTAGAATCATAATAATTGAATAAAAGAAGCTCAGAAACAGAGAAGTCTCAGAATCAGAGAATTTAGAATCAGAATTATCATAGAATCATTGAATAGCAGAAGCATAGAATCAGTGAATCAGAGAATCATTGTAGAATCATCAAGTCATGGAATCATAGAACGGCTGAGATTGGAAGAGGCCTGACAGATCATCCAGTCCCAGTTTTCTGCCCTGGACAGGGGCACCTCCCATCAGATCAGGCCATCCAGGGCCTCATCCAGCCTGGCCCTGAACGCTTCCACAGATGGGGAGACCTGTGCTGAGGTTCACACATGCAACTCTATAAGGTCAGGCTCCCTGGGATTCCTTTTTGCTTGTGTATTTTATATGAACACTTTTTTTTCCTGAGTCATGGAAAAGGAGGTTTTGTGAAGGATTGTGTTGGATTTCCACAAAAGAAATCCAGTGTTGGATTTCTTTTGGAAAGGTCTTAAAAATATTTAAAATGTATTAAAAATATTAAAATCCATCTTCTGAAGAAAACCTCTCAGCACTTGTACCTGGCAGCAGTGCTTTGGTTTTCTACATAACCCATTCCATGAGGAGCGCTGGGTGATGCTGTTCAACACCATTGGTTATGAGCTTGCTCCATGCCAAATTTCCCTCTGTGGGACTGAGAAAACAAAATAATGCTTGTGCCCACCAACTCCTGTTAGTCTGATTGGTTTCTGCCCAGGACAAAACTATGAGGACTGCAAAGATAGCTTCTCTCTGGATGTTGGGGTAATTTAGAGTTCAGAGTACAATTTCTGTATACGGTCATGTTTCTGTAATCCACAAGTGCAATCTTGCCACTCCTCTGCAGGCGGTGAGCTCAGGAGGAATGGTTATGTATCGTTTTGTACTACTGAATGTAACAGTTCTTTGTAAATTACTTTTGAACGGTTTGGCTCTCTGGGCTCTTTTCTACTTCTTGGACTCTCAGGAGGTGACCAGGCTGGTTGGTGACACGTCTGGGTGCTGTTGCCAGGGCTGTTGAACACTCAGCGTGCATGGAGGTGATGCTGCAGAGCATTCAGCCGTATCAGGCCGGCCAGAAAAGAGCAGCAGCTGCCTCCTTTGTGCCCTGCTTGGTGAAGCTTCATTTGGCCCTGAAGCAGTTTGGGGCACCCCTGTGTTAAATCTAGAGGCAGTCCAGGTGACGTGACACTGACAGAGCAATGGGAGTCCACAGCCTGGTGGGTGATTTGGAGCTGTGGGGACGTGGGAAGGGAAATGCATCTGGAGTCTTCTTTGTCGTGAGGTTTCAGAAGGGCGGCAAGGATTGATGCTGTAAAATCACAACACATCTGAGGAGCAGAATGCTCTTGCCCAGGCTCATTGTAAGGCTGATCTGATCACTGTGAAAGGATGCATCAAGGATTTGGGAGGGCTCTTGGGGGCTGAATTAGGACACTTCAACTGAGTAACTGAGCATGGCAGCCGTGAATCACTGTGGCCCATCACACAGCAGATTTTTTCTTGCCATCAAATTGCTATGGCTCAGCGAAGCTCTGTGTGCTGCTTTCTCCCCACAGTGGCTCCACATTCGCTCTATGTCTGCTCTGGTGTCAGGAAGTTTGTGAGTGCTGCATTAGTATTTCTGAATTCATTGCATCAACTCCCTTTATCACCACCATGGACGCAGTTCCTCTTGGAGCATCACAGACCTCAAAACTGAGAAGCTGCTGTAAAAACCTGCAGCAAAACTCCGTGTCACATCTGCTAAAATAACCCAGCAGAGCGAATGGAGCTCCGGGTGCAACAGCAGAATCTCTTTGCAATTGATCCTTATCAGCCCTGTGTGCAACAAAGGAGTGCACCGCACCATGTGTGCGCCAAGCAGTGTCATCAAGCTGCAGGGAAGATGGAATGTCCAGCTGCAGGTGAGCTGTGAGAAAAAGAACCTCTCCTGGTGTCTTTAGGCAGCTGTGCAGTGCTGAGCTGGAGACTGGAACAGCTGGGCCCCAGGGCTGGCAGCTGGCACCGAGCTGCTGGCTCCAGTGGGCACTGCTTGGGGTCGTGTTTTTAAAGCACGCACTGGAAACATGGGAGAAGTGCATCCACTGTGTTTCTTGATTCAGACACGTATGCCCAAGGGAGCCTTTACTGGATGACTGCGCTTCAAACAACATTGCTTTTCCCATCTGCACGTGTGCAACAGACAGTGCCTGCAGGCAGGGGCGTCCCTAAGAAACAGCAGAAAGCTGAAGTCATGTCTAAACAAGGAAAGGACTCGTAAGCTTGGCAGATTGATCTGGACATACCAGGAAATACACTGAGGAACAAAGGGCAGCAGTAATCTGCTCTGAAAAACACTGGGAAAACTGTAGGAGACTTAAAATAATAAGGGTGAGAAGGGATCAGGCTGGAGCTGCCTGTTGCTGCCTGCATAAGGCTTCCCTACTTGGAAGCAGGCAGTGTCCACATCAGCTGTCTTCTTGCTGAGGCTGCATCCCACCAAATGATGGGCATGAAGGGGTTCTATAAGAAACAGCAATGGAATAACAGCAAACCTTCAGCCTGGGTGGTATTCACCCAAGAGCCAAGAGGGAGCTGACACAATAAAGAGTTCAGCTACCAACTGAGCAGGGTCGCTGTTGTTTCAAACCATGGTGGTGTCAGAAACTGGTGGAAGTCCCAGGTGGAAATGTGAGGAGCTGCTGACATCTGGCCCGAGCAGATTGGCACAACGTACCATGAGTTACTGGAAACGTGTGTGAACATTACGTTGTGGGAAAGAGCTCCCATGTGTTGTGTGTGAGGAAATCGTGTCTTTCTCTGCCAGAGTTCTCCCAAAGAGTCAACAAGTTTATGCAGAGGAGAGAACCTGCTGGTAGTGCTTTGCAAAGGTGTTCAGAAAGACTCCTGGGCTGAGGTCTGAAGAAACTCACCTTGAGAGGTGAAAAAATTGTAGTTAGGCTTTCAGAGCAGGCACTGAGTCCCACTGCTGGAAAAGTTGGACAGAGAGAGCCGGTGCTAAGCTCCAAACCTGGGTTTACGTATTTCTGCATGGAGTTTTAGGACGGCCAAAGTGATGCGGGAGGTCAGCAGTGCAAGCACAGCAGATGCAGTTCTTTCCCAAAGAGAGGCGGTCTCTGGGGAAGCACCGACCCCGAGGGGCAGAAGCAGCCCCTGCCCCCACATGGAGACAAAGTCAGGGAGGCGAGGCGCTGCTTTCCCCATCTGTTCTGCAGGAGGACCTGATCTCAGTGGCCAAGCAAAGCGGCCTGCCAGTCAGAACAGTGCAGAGCTGGTTCCGGCAGCGGCGGGCCCAGGACCGTCCCAGGCTTACGAAGAGGTTCTGTGAGGCGAGGTAGGTGGGCCAGCGTGGGGATGGGAGCCTCCACCAGCGAGCTGCATGGCAGCACACATCCTGCCTTTAGCTCTGAATGCAGTCTAGTGGAGTGACAGAGCCACTGAGCAGTGCCCCCAGCTTCACCCTTCCTCCCCTCCCACTTCTGCATTTTAAAACAATGAAGTTGACTCAACAGTATCCACTGATCAGGTTTAAATCTCAGGTGCTGGAGGGATTTTCAGCAGTAATACCATTGGCAAACACCTTTTTAAGAGGATTTTTATATGAAATGACAAATTTTAAATACTCTTACCAGCTCGTGGACTGTTGGACCTAACAGTGTGACAACCAGCCACTGGGCATGGACAGAGGGAGGTGACAACAGAAAAGCAACAGAAATCACTGAAAACTTCACTAAATTTATTTTCCTCAAACTTTCCACTCTCATATGAGATACTAATGCATATCTCAGTAGAATATGGAATCAGAAAAGACAGAGGAGCCACCAAGCGTCCAAATGAAAAGGATCAGGTTATTGTTAGATCTCAGCTTGAGGCTTTAAACTGTATGTACAAAGAGGCTCCAATCAGGCACAAGATCCTCTGTTCCTCGTTCTCTGAAAACAGCATTTCTCAGTGCTTGAATCCTGTTCCCACATCACAAAAGGAGGCAGGTAGAGGCACCTCGGGAGTGATGCTGATTCCCACTTAGTGCTGGCAGCGTACGTCTGGGATTTGGGCACAGTAGAACCCAGGTGAGCTGTGGGTACCCCACTGCCTTACCAGCATATTGCTGCACATGCAAACAGAGCTAAGCTGCTGCAAATATGTGTCCAAACAACCTCTGTGGGCTTCTCAGCTGGTGGGAGAGCACCTGGGAGGGTGGGATCCCACATCCATCTGCCCACACCTATTCCTTCTCCAGCTGTTTCTGCTCTCCAGCCCTTGTGCCTAACTACACCCATTTTGCTGCTTTCCAGTCGGGTGCTGGATGTGATGGCAAAGCCTGGGGAGGCATCTAAGCTCCAGAGGGAGTTATAATTACAGAATCACAGAATCACAGAATGGCCAGGGTTAGAAGGGACCTCAAGGATCATGAAGCTCCAACCCTCCTGCCACATGCAGGGCCACCAACCTCCCCATTTAATACTAGACCAGATTGACCAGGGCCCCATCCAGCCTGGCCTTGAACACCTCCAGGGATGGACGGGGCATCCACAGCCTCTCTGGGCAGCTGTTCCAGCACCTCACCACTCTCTCTGTAAAGAATTTCCCCCTAACATCCTACCTCAATTTTCCCTCCCTCAACATCAAATCATTTCCCCTTGTCCTGCAGTTATCTATCCTTTCAAAGAGTTAATTCCCCTCCTGTTTGTAGGCTCCCTTTAGGCACTGAAAGGCTGCAATGAGGTCACCCCACAGCCTTCTTTCCTCCAGACTAAACAAGCCCAGCTCCCTCATTCTGTCTTCACAGGGAGCTGTTCCAGCCCCTGATCATCTTCATGGCTCTCCCCTGGACCCTCTCCAACAGCTCCCCTGTCTTTTTTGTACTGGGGGTTCCAGACCTGGACACAGTACTGCAGAGGGGGCCTCACAAGAGCAGAGTAGAGGGGGACAATCACCTCCCTGTCCCTGCTGGCCAGCCTTCTGATGGAGCACAGGATACCATTTACCTTCCAAGCCACAAGAGCACGCTGCTGGCTCATGTTTTGTTTTTCATCTATCAAGACTCCCAGGTCCCTCTCTCTCAAGGTCCCAGGTCCCCTGCTCTCAAGGAGCTCCTTCCAGTCTGTAAGGATGCCTGGGATTCCTCCAGCCCAATGCCAAACTCTGCACTTTGCTGTGTTGAACCTCATCAAGTTCACCCAGGCCCACCTTTCCAGCCTGTCACTCCATCACCAAAGGCCTCCAGCTGGCCCTGCACCAGCACCCGACTTCGTGACAGCCCACGTGGTTCAACCAGAGAACCTACTGTGCCAGTATCCATCGCCCTTATTAAAGAGAGCAAAATGAGGCTGTGAAAATCAGCTCCTTTAGTAAGAAAGGAAATACATTCTAAGACGGGGGTAGAAGAAGAGGATGAGAATGAAGCCAGGCCATGACAAGAACGGCAGGAGGAAGAGGCAGAACTCATAAAGGAGACGAGAATCATTTGACTCCTGAGCACGAGTGAGCTGAGAGATATGTGAAAAGACTTCAGCTGTCATGCAGGGGAGCACTCTGACACTGGGAGAATGGGGCCGCAAGCCTGGACTAGGCGGGCAGCAAAGGCAGGCATCTGGGATCCCTTTCACGGGCAGGGGGCATTGGCAAAGCCCTTGGAAATGAGGCACAAGCCTTCCCCTCGTGGAGGAGACTCTCTGTAAGGGCCAAGAGGGAAAGGAGTCCCTTCAAAGAAGATCTGGTGTGTTACCCAGGCAAGCGGTCCACCGTGGGGAAAGGTGTGCCTGAGGGCACCAGCTCTTCTGGAGGTGATGCATAATGCTGAAAAAAGAGGGGAGATACAGACTGGCTGTTGGCCGGCAATTGCTGATTCTGAGGGTGGGGACGCACTGGAACAGTTGCCCAGGGCTGCTGCCATCTTGCTTGGGAGCCTGGGACGCATTCCGCCCCGAGGGGGTAACCGTGATGTCACAGTGGTGGCAGGGAGCGGCCATTGTGACCCGCGGGGCTGGGAGCAGAGCAAAGGCTGCCGGGCTCAGAGCGTGGTCAGTGCGGCCTGGTGAGGTGCAGAGAGAGCAGGGACTCTTCAAGTGCTCACCGTTGACGCGCAACATGTCCAGTAGGAAGCGGAAGGCCCCCGACTCCGGGGAGCAAGGTGAGAGCAAAGCATCCCTGCGCGCAGCTCCCCGCCGCCGGGCAGAGGGGTGCTGGGGGTCTGCCAGCGGCTGAGAGGGAAGGAAGGGCAGGAGCAAAGATCACGGGGGGTCCCTGGGGACCGCCCTCAGGGACATCTGGCCCCGCAAGGTGCTCACTGCTGCCCGCCTTTGCTCTCTCCTCTCCAGTGTGCATGCTGTGTCGCCGGGCGGATGTCGACCCGAACATCTGCGGGCGCACCTTTGCCAAGAGTGACCTTTGCGTGCATGAGTTCTGCTTGGTGAGTTCCAACCCTCAAGGGCTCCTGCCAGCTTCCTGCCAGGGATGCTCCCTTCCTGTCTGTCCTAACGAGATCCTGCTCTGCTCTTTCCCACAGCTTTTTTCTTTGAAGAAAAACACATTCTTTGAAGAAAGCGACCCCTGGGAGGAAACGCTGTGCCTCCCCGTTGAGACCATCAGATGCAGAATCAAGCAGGCGGACCAGAAGGTGAGCTTTGTGCCAGGAGAGGCTCACGCCAGCTTAGTCTGCACCCAGAGAAAGCAATGGCAGCCCTTCCAGCGGGCTCCAGGGCAAAGTCCTGCCATAGCAGACGAGCCTTCTCTGCCAGGCGGCTCTGCAGAGTGGGGCCCAGCAGCTTCCGCAGCCCGTGCCCTGCCCAGAGGTGTGGGGCCGGCCGTGGAGGCCCTGAGCCTGCTGCTGATCGGGGCTGCCTTGTTCCTTTCAGCAATGCTTCGTTTGTGGCGAGAGAGGAGCCGCCATCAGCTGCGCAGAGAGAGGCTGTGCACGCAGCTTCCACCTGCCCTGCGCCGCGGACGGTGAATGCGTCACCCAGTTCTTTGGGCAGCACAGGTAAGGGCTGTCAGCAGCAGCCAAGCCAGGGAGGAACCCACAGCGACAGCTCCCAGCAGCCTGCCAGAGACAGGGCCTGGGGCTCCTGCCTGCTGCTCTGCCCTCCTGGCAGTGCTTCTCACGGTGCCCATCACTTGCATCGTCCCCCAGGTCCTTCTGCTGCGAGCACCGCCCGCGACAGGCAGCGGAGGCAGCTCCACCCCAAGGCACCGACTGCGTCATCTGCCTGGAGCCCCTGGAGGACAGCACGTCCTACCAGACCCTGTGGTGCCCAGCATGCAAGCACACCTGGTTCCACCGCCGCTGTGTCCAGGTAGAAGCCCTCCCCTCACCCTGCGGCCACGGCCCGCGCTCAGCAGCACCAGGCCCCGCTCACGCTCACGCTGCTTCTGCTTCTCCGGCAGGGGCAGGCCACGAACGCCGGCACCATGTGCTTCCAGTGCCCCATTTGTCAAGACACGGAGCAATTCCGTGCAGAAATGTCCACTCTGGGGATCCAAGTCCCAGTCAGGTTGGTGTCCTTCTCCCCAGCGCTGCAGATGGGAAGGCACGAGCGCTGGGCCTGCCCGGGGGCTGTCCCGGCAGGCCTGGCCCTTTGCTGTCTCACCAGCACAGGCCTCAGTTTCACAGAGAAGCTGGAAATGGGGTTGCCTTGGATGAACAGGGATACCCCGGATCACACATGGCAGGGAACCGGGGACTCATCGCATTCCCTCCCTTCTCTTGTAGGAGACCATCTTGGTGGGACGACAACACCTACCCATCACTTCTGCGGAGGCACAGGCGCTGCGATGTCAGCAAGTGCCTTTACCCAGGAGGCAGGGAGCAGGCAGAGGTGAATGGGTGAGTTACCTCAGCAGCCCTCTGGGCTTCTGCAGGGGATCTCTCCCTCAACACCGGATGGGGAACCAGGGCTGAGCACCGCAGATGTGCCGGCCGCTGCCTGGCTTGGCTCACTTTGTCCTCACAGCCACAACCCGTTTGCTTCCCCAGGCCCTGGCAGCTGCTGCTCTGCAGCTCCTGTGCTGCAGAAGGGACCCACCGACAATGCTCCTACCTGAGCAACAGAGTTAACAGCTGGGAGTGTGACAGCTGTGCTGGCATAGGCACCGGTAAGATGCAAACAGCTGTGGCTCCCTAGGCAGGGGCCGGGCAACACCTGGCAGTGGGTGCTGCTCAGGGCGGCCCTGCCAGGCTCTCTCTGCCTCAGGAAGGAGGGTAGCCCGTTGCGACTCAAGGCTGCAGCTTCATCCCAATGATCACCTTCCTGCTTTCCTTTACAGCCTCCAGCAGCAACACAGAGCGCGCCGGACCCAGCACCAACACGGAGCGCGCCGGCCCCAGTACTTCCAGCCAAGGGGCTCCGGAGCCTCCCCATGGCTCCCAGGGACCGGAGAACATCAGCTCCGGCTCCAGCAGCCAGGCAGCATCAGGCCCCTCACACCGGTCCCAGCTGCCTGAGAACAGACGCCTGCCCAGTGAGCCTGGGACACGGCAGAGAGCAATCGGCCCACGCCTCCCTGAGGATCAGGAGGCATCTCTGCGGCGCCGAGGACGCCGTGGGAGCGGCCGTGCAACAGCCCTGCGCACCAGCAGCAGCTCCTGCAGGTCCACCCGACAGAGGGCACCACGGCCCTCCAGCAACTCCCCGGTGGCTGCACCCAGAAGGAGCCCTAGGCAGCAGGGGACGGGCCGGGCACGAAGCCGCTCCCCGCTTCAAGATCGGGCCTCACGTTCCCAGAGCCGGCCCAGAAGAAGCCGTGGCAGCAGACAAATGCCACGCCGAGCTGCACAGAGCAGCACGCTCTGCTCAGCCGCCCCAGTGACATCGAGGCCCTCGAGGGGTTCCCCGCTGCTGGGACACAGAAGACCCTCCAGGCAGCAAGGGAGGGCCCACACATGAAGCCCTTCCGCAACGGGATGTCAGGCTGCAGACTTCCCACACAGACCCCAGCACGCCGCAGCAGCCAAACCCAACAGCAGCGGCCAGCCTGGGCACAAGGCTGCTCCCAGATCCATCTGCAGAACCACATCCCCACAGCCAGACCTCAGTCTGCACAGGAGCAGCCGGGTGCTAATGACACCTGCTCAACTTGGTCAACATCAGCCAAGACAATAAATCCCACCCCCACCCCCATCAGCTTCATTCTTCTCGTCTTTTCCTGGGGTGGGCAGAGTTCAGACCTCGACCACAGGGTTGCCTTCTCCCCAGCAGAATGGCTCAGGTTGGAGGGGCCGGCTCTAACCCCCTTGCCGTGAGCAGGTTCATGCACCACCAGATCAGAATGCCCAGGATCCCATCCAACCTGGCCTCACAGGACTCCAGCGACAGGGTGTCCTGAACCCCTCAGGGCGGAACCTCGCTGTTCCAGTGCCCCGCCACTCCCTGAGGAAACAGTTTCTTTCTAACACCTCATCTCTCTCTATCCTCTTTTAGTTTCATGCCATTCCCCCTTGTCCTGTCACTATCAGAACGCATGAAAAAGTCAGTCCTCCTCCAGCTTGGCAGGACCCTTAAAAGTACGAGAAGGCTGCAACGAGGTCTCCTCAGAGCCTTCTGTTCTTAAAGCAAAGTGAACCCCACTCCCTCAACCTGCCTTCTGAGGTGCGGTGCTCCAGGCCTTGTCTCCTCTTTGCGGCCCTCCTCCGGACCCTCCCTCCCACCGCTCCACACCCCTCCTGTGCTTGGCACCCCAGGCTTGGGCGCAGTACTCCAGATGGGGCCTCGCAAGGGCACAGCAGAGACGGACAATCACCGCCCTGCCCTGCTGGACATCTTCCTCAGGCCTTCCGGGCTGCAGGCATGCGCTGCTGGCTCATCTCCGGCTTTTTGGCCATTACGACCCCCAGGTCCTTCTCCACAGGGCTTCTATCGCTGTCTTCTCCTCCCAGTCTCCACCCGTATCTGCGACTGCCTCAACCCAATCGCAACACCTTGCACTGGGCCTTGTTAAACCTCACGGGATGCTCACGTGCCCTGTATTCCAGCCTGGGTCCAGGTCCCTCTGGATAGCGTCTCTGCCTTCTGCTGTGCCAAGCGCACCGTCAGCTCGGTGCCGTCAGCTGGGGGTGCACTCAATCCCACTGTCTGTGTCCTTGATAAAAATGTTCACGAGCATCAGTCCCCAGACGGACCCCTGGGTGCCCGGCCTCCACCTGGACACAGAGCCGCTGGCAGCAATCCTCGGGCACAACATCCAAACAACCTGCATCCACCTGTCTGTCCAACACTCAAATGCACATCTCTCCACTTCAGACATTAGGAGGTGCTGTGGGACCACGTCAGAGGCCTTGCACAAGTCCAGGCAGAAGACATCAGTCGCCCTTCCTTTGTCCATCACAGCCATCACTCCATCACCAGAGGCCTCCAGATGGCTCAGGCACAGCCGCCCTTGCTGAAGCCGTGCTGGCTGTCTTAGGTCGCCTCCCCATCTCGCGTGTGCCTTCACATCTCCTCCAGGAGGATCCACGCCGCCATGTTCCCAGGCCCCACACATGAGGCACAGCAGCCTTCAGGCCCAGCTGGCTTCTGGCCCAGCCCCACTGAGGCACGAGGTCTCAAGTCAGGATGGATCAAGGCTCTGCTGGCAGGACAGCCCAATTCTGGGGGTGTTTCATGGCTTGGGGTTGCCACTGTTCTGCATCGTTCATTCATTAGCAGCAAACCGTTTCCATTTGTAGTATTTTTTAAAGCGTTGGGGGGAAAAAAAGGAGAGAAACAAAGCGTAAAACTGGTGGAATATTATAAATTTCATGTTAAGTTACATTAACATGATTTTTATCAAAATTATTAATTATATCAAAATACTTTTAATTACATTATTACAATAAAATACTTTTAATACATTAAAATATTTTTAACTGAACATTTCAACAGGTAGTACGAGCTCATTGAAGAACTCCCACCGTGAGAGAATTGGAAAAAATATTTCAGAGATTTCAGAGGGGCAATCTTGGTAGGAAAGACAGAAGCAAAGAAGGCATTCAGTACCTCTGCCTTCTCTTTGTCCCCTGTTACCAAGGCATTCAGTGGCAGACCCGCATGTGTTCCAGTCCTAGTTTTACTACCAACATTCTCACAAAAGCCCTTGCTGTTCTCCTCGACCGCCTTTCCTGGATTTAATCCCAAGGGTGCCTTAGCCTTCCTCATTGCATCCTTGCAGGCCCTGACAACGCTCATACATTCTTTCCAGGTAGAAATGCCCTTCTTCCACGTGCTGTGTACGCTCTTCTTCCCTTTGAGTTCATCCATGAGCCCCTTGCTTATCCAGCAGTTCTCCTGCCACTTTTCCCTGCTTTCTTGCTCTCAGGGGTGCATCCATCTTGAGCTTGGAGGAAGCGGTGTTTAAGTGTCAAGCAGCTCTCTCGGGCCTACTTGCCAAAGCTCCCGTCCATGGGATACCTCCAAGCAGGCCCACTGAGGAGGTTCTGCTCTCCCAAAGACTGGGGTGATGGTCCTACTGTGGAGTCGGCAATGCATTTTATGCCATTGGATGGGCCCTTCCAATTGGCTCAGGAGCAGTTTCCAGATGGCGTGGAGTGTGCCTGGTGCCATGTACCGTGTGCATGCCATACCAGTCATGCTTCTCCCATTGCATGGTGGTTGTGCGGGGGGCTGGGGATCGAACCGAGACCGCCTTAAGCAAGACAACAAACTCCAGACTTCTCCATTGTGCTCACGCACAACATGTTTGTTCTGCACCTTTCGCAGGAGCATGGCAGCACAGTTTTTGTTCTGAGGCATTCACAAGTTTGTTATCATTTTGTTTTGCACAGTTTGCAAAGAAATTTCTGCGCAATTGGACTGTGTGCTGTATGTGCAACTGTATCTGATTTCCTCTTAGAGTGACTTCTACTTCAAAAATCATTAGGAAATTTCACCTTTTGAGAAAGACTTTTTGGGTGATGGCTTCTAGAATTGTCCCGGGACTTGATGGTACACCAAGTAGTTGATAATTTCCAGGCTCATCCTAACCCTTCTCTTCCCCTGATGAATAGAGGTTCGGTGTCTTTCTGGTCAGCTGGCATGAACCCCACTGCACATCCACTCTTGAAGAAGGGAGTGAAACAATCTCAACACTTCTGTCAGTTTGAAGACCTGGGGATGCTGTTCCTCTCCACATTCTGTTCTTTGTGAAAAACATCACCCGAGCTCTTCTTTCACCCTTCTCCATCTCCAGCCCCTTGCTGCTTTTCAACACTTTTCACTGGGCTTGGGTACCGTTGCGCTTCAGGTGAGCTTGTGGCGGAGCCCATCAGTGAAATGATTTGGAAAAACGATCAAGCACGTCCCAGTCTGCATGAGCTTCATGAGGCATTTATGGACTGTGGACATTTATAAAGGTGAAACCTATGTGAATACGCAGCTGGTGAAAAGAAGTTCCATTACGATTGGTGAAGGATCAGACGCTCTGTATGCATGTATACGCACATATTTATGTCTCACTCTCAATACTCTGTAGGCGTGTGAACAAGTGTTTCTTTGTGGCTCAGACTGTGACAACGCCATACAGAACTGTAACACTGTGAATTCTCGTCCTCTTTCTGTCTGGTTCACAGGTGGACCTGTGGCTAACCGGAGACAGGAGACACGGCTGTGACAGCCTCGTGAAGGCATCAGAGCAAACACTGTACTGTCACATGCTTGTGAAAGGTGCACAACAAACACAGGTTGTACCAAGTCCACGGAGAACCCAGGAGTCAGTCGCCCGGCTGAAGGCGGTCTCGGGTCCCCCCCACAACCACGGCCCTCCACAACCACCGTGCACACGGAGCAGCGTGGGGTTACGGCACACGCACGGTGTGCGGCACCGCGCAGCAGCTCCTGGCCCGACCGGAGCCAAAGAAGGGCAGATTCGGGCCGTGGCACAGAACCGCTCCCAGTCCACATCCGGCAGAACAACCCCCTTCTCCAGCTACGGGCTCGGCTCCGTGCCAGGGATGTGGCCACGCTTTTCTCCATCCTTCTGCCTTCCGGGCATCGTCACCTTTGGTCGAACCTCTTGTGCGCTCAGCAATGACAAATGCCAACCACTTTGGCACAGAGCTCCGAGCTAGCCGAGCCTGAATGCAGTTGGAATGGACGCATTTACCCGAGCAGAGCCAAGCCCCAGGCTCGCACCGCTCCCATCGCCGGTACCCACGCCCCGCGCCGCTCTTTTCTCGGTCTCTGCTGCCACCGCTTGACCGGAGCGCAGAATTGCAGTCGGGACCGCCTCGGCAGCGGTTTTCGGGGCAGCGGGGGATCAGACGAGCTCTGGGAGCGCTCTGGGCGCTCTGGGCCCCCCGGGGCCCGCACGGTCCCGCAGAGCACCACAGAGCCGTCCCGGAGCGGCACGACGCGTCGCTCTGCTCTCTCCGCTCCGTACCGCCCGTCCCTGCGGTAATACGAAGCGATCCTCCAGACACTGACGCCTCCGGAAACCCGGAAGTGGTGCCTCTTTGCTCTGACTGCTCTGTGCCTCCAGCCCTCCAACTCTATGGTAGCGGGTCCTCCTGCTCGTGCTGCGCATGTGCCGAGAAGAGCGGAAGCGGCGGCTCGTTGGCGTAAGGGCGCTGCGCTGGCGGCCCGGCGGGCAGGTAGTGCTTGGAGCTGGCGGCAGTGCTGGGCGTGCGGCGTGCAGTCGGTCAGCGAGATCATAATAAATAGTAAATCAAGGAAGAAAAACATCGAGTTATCTGTCTATCTACATCTCATCTCATTTTCTGCTCCAAAACTGACCAAAGTGTCAGTGTGGTTTCCAGCTCCAAGAGGGAAATGGCTGCAAGTTCCAAGAGGGGAGATTTAGGTTGGCTATAGGGACGAAATCTTCTGCAGAGAGGTGGTGAGGCACTGGCACAGGTCACACAGCGGTGCGCTGGGTGCTCTGTCCCTGGAGACCTGACCCAGCTGCGGTGTCCCTG